TGGCGAAGCCACGAACACTCGGCGACGACGTTGGCCACCGCACGATACTCAGCCTCAGCACTGGAGCGAGAGACCGTAGGCTACCGCTTGGACGACCATGATATGAGTGATGGTCCAAGGAAGACACAATATCCCGAGGTGGAGCGATGAGTGTCAGGGCAGCCTGCCTAGTCTGCATCAGTATAGGCGATGAGGGCGGTGTCGGCGGAGGTGAAGAGCGTGATGTCGAGCTCCATAGTGCCGCAGACGTAGCGAAGAATCCGCTTGACAGCGACCTAGTGAACATCCCGAGGAGCATGCATATGAAGACACACCTGCTGTACGGTGTACTGAATCTCTGGTCGAGTCAGAGTGAGATACTGGAGAGCACCAATGATGGACCGGTAGAATGCAGCATCCGAAGCGGGAGAACCGTCCGAGGCAGGGAGCTTGGCCTTCGTATCAACAGGCGTAGCGGCGGGCTTGCAGTTAAGCATGCAGCACGATCCAGGAGCTCATGAGCGTACTTCCGCTGATGAAGAAAGAAGCCATCTGGACGTCGCACCACCTCAACACCGAGGAAGTAGTGCAAAGGACCCAAGTCCTTGATGGCGAACTCAGCGCGAAGACGATTAGTGAGCTGGCTGAGGAGGCCAGCTGTACATGCCGTCAGGATGATGTCGTCGACATAGAGCAGCAAGTAGGCCGTGTCAGAGCCCTGATGATAGACGAAGAGCGACGCGTCCGAGCGGGTGGAACGGAACCCAAGCTGGTGTAGGAACGACGCGATGTGCTGGTACCAAGCGCGCGGAGCCTGCTTGAGTCCGTACAAGGACCGCGAAAGAAGGCACATGTGGTCGGGAAGCGCCGGGTCACCAAACCCGGTGGGCTGCTGGCAGAAGACCTGTTCCTCGAGGTGAACATGGAGGAAGGTGTTGGAGACGTCCATCTGGTGCACTGGCCAAGCACGGGACACCGCAAGGTGGAGAACCGTGCGTATCGTGCCGGGCTTGACGACCGGAGCGAAGGTGTCGGTGAAGTCGATGCCAACACGTTGTCGGAAGCCACGAACGACCCAGCGTGATTTGTAGCGATCAAGGGTACCATCAGGACGGAGCTTGTGTTTAAAGACCCACTTCCCGGTAATCACGTTGGCGCGTCGGGGACGGGGAACAAGCTGCCACGTCCGGTTGCGCAACAGGGCGTCAAACTCCTCCTACATCGCAGCCATCCAGAGCGGGTCAGGAAGAGCGGCTCGAACGAAGGACGGCAAGGGCGACGGCTCAGAGGTGGACGCCAGATGGACGTAGTCATCCGAGGCGTAGCGCGAGCTTGGGCAAAAAACGCCCGTACGGGCGCGGCTGACCGGACCAGC